ATGAATGAATGAATGATTATAATTAACCGAACATGCTAGTAAGTTTGTCTGGATGAATGATGCATCCTATAGGTTTTAGCATGGTAGTGAAGCTACTTCTATCTCCTTGAATAAAAATTATCCTGTATTTTTGGGGAAGGTCATTCTTTGTGTACCAATGTGTAGCTGCAGGAACCATGCAAAGGAATGATCCCACCTCACTCCCCTTAGCCGGCCAGATAGAGCCTGTTCTCCCTCTTCTGTTTCTCCCACTCGAGTCAGACATCTAATTCATACACTCTCAGAAATGTGATTTTAACCTTCTTTGCCTTATCTAGGTAAGGGTAGCTGTATATAAATCCTAACGTATTAAAATCATTCTGAATTAAAACAGATATCATAAGACTGTTCTAATTTAAATTGATAATGCTGAAACAAAATCTAGTTAAAATCAGACATCAGGGTATAAGTCTAAATTTTTATTTTCATTGTGATATTTCCCTAACAGGATAAAAAAAAATACTTCTAATTGTCCCCTAAGTACTTCCTCTGGATCTCTGTCAATTACTTAATCTGTCACATTGCAGGATATTCACCCAGTTCAAGGTATAGGTTTTACTTGGGTCTTAGCTCAGTGTGTCCTCAGCTATACTCCAGTGTTTCCCTGAGGACTCTGCAGGGGAGCAGGCACCACAGACCAGCTCAGCCCTTCCTGCCAGCTCCCCTGGAGAGGGTGAAGTGCACACAATAAAAAAACGTAATGATAACGAGCTTTGCAATTCCTCGGTCATCTTAGTTCTGATGGTAATCTTAATGTTCTCATGAGAAATCTGTCACTCATTGTGGGAAGCTACTACCATTGATGGAAGATTTTGTTTTGTTTTGTTTTGTTTGTTTGCTCTTGGCCAGGTTATGTATGAAAACTATGAGAATGTTTCTCCGAGTAGCTTGCTGATTCAGTAGACTTGGTAACACGGGGTGAGTGAGAGCAGTTGAAAAAAATGATGGTCTAATAGTACATATTTCTTTGATGTTGTAGTAAAACAAAAGAGAACAAACAAAACCTTGTCAGTCCCTTTCCTATGTCTAAATCAAACATGGCAGCAAACACTGTTCTGATATGCATAAAAACAAATGCTAACAATGTCTGCAGGGACTCCTTTGTTACCATAGGCCTTGAAAATTAGTACAACACTAATTGTTAGACTACCAAGTAACCAGGCATTAGATACCAAGGTAGGGGCCAGCTGCAAATGGGGTTTAAAGTATGTTGTTCTTGCCTAATCAGTTGTTTTATTAATATCCTCTCTCCTTGTCTTAGCAAAGGATAAAACTCATTGAAAACCTCCCCCATGAAATTTTCTGAGACAACCCTGGTAAATTTTCATCTCACTGTCTTCATGGCACTTAGAACATGCATTTACGAACACTTTTAAAAATTCTTTCATAATACATTCTCACCACTTGTTTTGTATTTCTTGGTATCTCACATTTTCCCCTAACTAAAATGTAAGTTCCTTGAATTCAGGGTCATTGACCTAAACTTGTCTTTAAATCTCGCAGTAGGAGTTTAAAAAGTGGTTGCTAAACAAATTTAAGCTTCTAATGGTTGTCTCTGAGGGGGTTTTAATAGATGTCCTTGTTGGGCTCAACTTTTGGGATCCATTCCAGCGTATTTTATTTGGTTTAATCTTTCTGTAGTAAAGAGTTACAACTTGGTTGTTTTATCATTATCATTATTATTATTTTATTTCAGCATATTACCGGGGTACAAATGTTTAGGTTACATATATTGCCTTTACCCAACCCAAGTTGAGCTTCAAATGTGTGCATTCCCCAAATGGTGCCCACTGCACCCATTAGGTGTGACTATATCCATCCCCTCAT